ATATCTATCACTGCCGCTCTTCGCCAAAAGAACCACCCAAATCTTGCCTTATGACTTCTTTCTTGACTCTGATCGATCCGGCTACTTTGTCACTTTTCATTAGAAAAAGAGAAGAATTCTATGTGCACTTTATATCTACGTTTGCTGTTCAGTATCATAATTGATTACATAAAAATAATATTTACTTCGAATTCGAATGAATCGAGTAATATCTATATTTGTTAAATCATGTTGAAAACCTATACCTCGATTCTAACACGTAGTTAAAAGACAAGGGGTTAACGTCTTCCCAATCAACGAACCACAAAAGAAACCAATTTCCACATTCCAACGTACAAACTTCCACAAACTCCAAAATCCAAAACACAAATTTGGCGTTACGAAGCAACGAAATACATCCCGACCTTCCTCGATTCGTGCGGTGCACTTCCGGTGCAGTGGTCCGGTCCAAGACTTACCCAAACTAGACCCCCTCCTCCCTCCTCTCCACGTGACCACGGAGTTCAGCTCGTAGCTCCTGCTGGACTCGATCCTCCCGCTGTTGTTGCCTTTGAGGATGTTACCTTCGAAACTCTTGCCGGTGATCGGTTTCATCGTGTCGCTGGACACGATCACGATCTCGCTGGTCGGCTGCGGCGGCTGCCTTCTAGAGGACTCCCCGAAATAAGGGCACGTGCAGGGCGGCGGCAGGCTGAGCTCGCCGTCTTGCTTCTCGGCGGGTTTCCTCTGACCAGCGTCCTCGTTCGAGGAGTCTTTTCTCGAAGTGACTGCTCGGCTGAACACGGGCTGCTCGTGGAAGCTGAACGACCGCTTCCTGAGCGTCTTCGGTGAGCCGGACTCCGCGCGCTCCAGGTGAGCCTCGTTGAATGTGGACGCTCGTCGCCGGTGCTTCCACGGGGTTGGGGAGCTAGGGTCCTCTTGCATCGATAGGCTCGTCCTCGAACCGGATACGCTGCTCGCGCCGCTCTCACCGCTACTGGAATTTGGAAATGTCTAATGATAGGATTTTAACGTGACGATGGGTGTTGTTACAGGTGATTGGTGGTTTTTAGTTGTTTAGAGAGAGTCGAAGGAAAGTTGGGGATGGATGAGATTTGATGATATGGTTATTAAAAGTGTAGGAGTATAGAAGTATAGAAGTATAGAAGTATAAAAGTATAAAAGTATGAGAGTATAAAATTGTAATGTTTCAAAAGTACAAAAATGGCTAGAAATAGTTATAGTAGTATGTATAACGTACAAACTGTACAATCATATAATTAATAATTGTTTCTTGTCTTATTTATGTCTGTTATGAAAAAATACATATATTTCCACGGCAGTCAACGTGTTAACTTATGAAATAATAATAATTCACTGAAATCTTCTAACAGTTAATGATTGACCCAGACGTATGTTTCTTATATTATGTTATCATTTACATCATTTTTTGCTTCAGGTAATAAATGTTTTCTATTATAAACATTTTCTTCACAAAAATATATATGAACAAAAGAGTATTAGTAAATAAAGAGAAATGTAGATAGAAAGTGTTTATTTTGTGCATTGTGTGCATAGATATAACAGCATTCAATGAATAATTTATTTTGTCCACGTATTTTTGACAATCACAACATCTGAATTTACGTGTATACGATGGGATTCTCGAAAATACGGGTTTAAATTGAGCTGACACAGAGCTCCAACGTTTAAGCTTATACGTTACACTTGAATGTAAATCCAAAATATGAATGCAGGACCACCGAGTCCATGAAATGCACATAGTCCAATTAGTTTATTTCGGAACTAATACATTCAGAACATAAATTTGAATTTTTTTTATTCAGAATTGTTGAATCTCCTTAATCCGGGTTTATGATTGTTTACGATTCGACGGTATATATTTACACAAGTCCGTATTTGTAGAGGATAATTCGTGATGGCAAACATTAAAAGCATACTCGTCACACAAAATGTGAAAACCTTTGTTAATTTCAGTTACCCAACTTTTAATTAATCTCGTTATTTAACCAATTTTTTACTATAAACCTCATTGCTAAACGTGTAACCACAAAGTCTTATCAAAGCAATATTTATGTTAGTTTTCTACATGAAACTTTAATGAAATCACAACAGGTTTTTTAATCGTACTTTAAGTAGCGTTAATTCTACAAAATTTCCATGTTTAATGATCCGTGCTATGTTTTCATTTATTTACTCAAAGCTATTCATATCAGACTTATTAATCAGTCTTAATAATCCCTCCAACCTGATAAACACGCTTACAAAGAAAATCTTAAACTTAACCCCTAGTCATATGATCCCCGCGCGTTAGCTTCACTAACGAATTCTGCTATCAATAATTTACAAGAAATGTCAAGAAACATTTCACCTATTACATATTAACTGTATAGCTGAAATACTGAAAATAGCAGAACAGTTTATTTCCGATCCATGTGCTACGACGAACATCGATGTTTCTTAAATCAATCTCAAAATCCCCACAAGTCTCACCCGTTATTGTATGGCAAGAGGTTAACGAAAAAGGAAGAAAACCAAACTATTGTATCGCACCGCGAGATCACTTTCTGCTTGCACAGGCTCAGTCACGGTTTCATTGAAACCGCGAAACAGAGCGAAAAATTAGAATGCCCAATAAAATCGAAACCCTGTACAAAGTTATTTAATAAAGCTTTGCTGAGTTATAGAGTACAATACCATCGATATAAATTCTTGGACGATCCGGCCGGCTTTTAATTTCCCCCCCGGCAAGTTCATTATTGAAGAAATTCTTGAAATAATCCGCCGCCAGTGTTTCTGAAATTTCAGAGAAGCTCCGAGGCAGCCGCTCGCGCGACAAAGAGCGCCGCGGCTCGCCTCGCAAAACCATTCCAATACTTCCTCCGAGCGGAGCGTCAAATGGGCAAAAATTCCCGCGAGACGTACTCGTTCAACCGGCAGAAGAAACAATGCGTTTTCTCCTTTTTTTCTTCTTCTTTTTAGGGAGAAAAAACGAAACGACTCCCACAACGATAAGAAATATACCGCGTGTCTCGCGTCAAGCAGCGACGAATCCGCAAATATCGATACCGATGAAGGTGGTTTCTGAGCAGAAATCGAAAATAACGGTTTTCGCAGAATTTTTTGCGGTAAAAGTCGGCAACTGGAACTCGCTTATTATTGTAATTAGTGAAGGACATGCGAATATCGATGCGAATCGCGAAGGATGGATTCTGAGCAGAGACCGAGAATAATGGTTATCGTAGAAATTTTTGTGGAAGAGTCGGGAACTAAAAGTCGTTTATTATTATAATCGTGAGTATTAATTACACAGGCACGTTGACTATAACGAAATTTTTCTTTATGACAATTACTATTTTTCCGTAAAAATGAGAAATGATATTAAAAATAATTATTAATGATTTGGTATCACAGTACTCGTTATTGTATACTAATTATTGTAATGCTTTATAATAATGATCATCGGTGACCACTATAGCAATCAATATATTAATTACAAAATGTAGAGAAAATTTTTTGAAAGACTCCGTGCTTAAAAAATCACACATTTTTGTTATATATAACAATTATAAGTGATCGGAAATTTGTTTATTACCGGTAATTATTATTCATTAGAGAAATTAATTTTTATAATGTATTTTGGTGTATAGTTCTTCGTTCGATCAAAACAATGAAATTTTCTAAATCCGCATTCAATTAAATTTCTCTGAACAATAATAATTATCGGCAATTAAAAAAAATTTCGATTAGTTATAATTATTATTTGCTATCAGACCATGTTGTTTGGAAAAATATCTATTGCCCTCTATTTCTTTTGCAATTTGGTTATAATAACTGCGGTCTATAGTTCCAAATTTATAAATTTCGAGATTTATAGCGTGCAGCGGTGGAACGCTCTCTGAATACATTGAAATTGAAACCCAGGCGGATAGGAAATTGTTGCCGGGTCCAATTGTCGAGTGATCGTTGACCAAGGTCTTCCCATTGGCGGAACGGATCTGATCTGTTCGAGAGCGCCTCGAGTGCTACGGAAAAATCAAAACGCGACCAATGTATATACCCGGGAGTGCCGTTCCGCCATTTCCTTTCGCTTTGTTGGCAATATTTGATGGCAAAGAGGTTGTTTGGAATATAATGGATTGATTATTTTGTGAACATTTACTGAAATGGTATTATGATAGTGATATTAGTGTACAAAAATCAAATCGAAAGTGTAGAATAATGTTTTATTTCTGTTGAATTTTATTTTGCTATGATTTCAGTTTGAATAAGTGGAATCAAATTTGAATAAAACAAGAAGTGACAGTAATCCGTAGATTTTATGCATTGCCAACTTTGACTGCGTGAATTCTGAGAGTATAAGAGATCGTTATTTTATATTGTATTGATTGAGATTTTTAAAAAAGAAAACGGAACTTCAGTTAATTCTTGTATTTTTAAATTGCTTCAGAAAATTTTGATTAAATATAAGTATTCTTAGTTCATTCATCAAATATGAATGCTTCCGAATTGGACCGCCTGACCAGTGCTTGATGTTTCTACTTGCGGTGAAAAGTTACAGTGACGAGTTGTTTTTGTGATATGAATATTATTGTTTTCCTAAATTATTATTCTAAATAATTATTATTCTGTTTATTAATTCTATTAATTTATATATGTTTTAATTTTATTCATTCAATTTCCAAATTTATCAGAAATTTTAATAAAACTTGTTAAATTATCGTACCTTCTCATATCGTACTATTGGATCATAAACCCTCTATCTTTTAAACAACGTTACCCATTCAACTACACAACAGACACCAACACATCGGAGACACCTTCACGCCAAACATATTAAAGCAATCGTATCCCTTAATAAAACACCGACGCAAAAATCCCTTCCTAAACATAATCCAATTCCTTTTTATCAAAAGCATCTCTCCTATTCGTTTCGCGGAGACCAGTGACAAAAAGGTACCATTACACAAATTCACAGCGGACTCTGAAAAGGCAGCCGGCGTTCATTCGCCAAAATTGCACCGACATCTTTGTCCGCGGAATCGCTTGACGTCGCACTTGGAGGCACCGTGCGCCGCTTTTGTCCGTTATTCTTGGCCGTTCGGTGCCATTTTTAACTTTAAATTGCTTCGACCCGCGCGCCGTCTGGGGTCGTCGGCACTTTTTTTCCCCTCCGTTGGGCGGGTGCAACACGAAATTCGCGTACAGGACGTAATAATGGTCGGCTGATCTCCAATAATGGATAGAACCCCGTCAAAAATGGTTGGCGCAGCTGCGTTTCGTACACATGTCCGATTTATAGGGGCCGACCTCTTTCCCCGCATTTTTTTTCGATCCGCGCGATCCATTACGTGCCGCGTGCAGGAAAAGCGAAGCACGTGGACCGCGGCGCAGCCATGGTAATCTAAAAATGCACCGGCCTTTCAGCTCGTGGCTACGAGTTAACT